GCCGGCTCTTCGAGGTTTCTTGGAGGGAAGGCCTCAAAAGGTGGGATGAAGGTAGGTGGGGTTTAGGGTTTAGGGTTTAGGGAAGGTAGGTGGTGTAATTCCTCAATAAGAGTCCTTGTATAGGGGATCCTTAATCCTACCTACCTTCATCCCACCTTTTGAGGCCTCCAATTGTACGGAAGGTTTAGGCTTGGCTTCGGATCCTCAGGCGATTGCACAACTTAGTTTCCGAAGATGATGGGCACCATATTTTGGGGTCTTTTCTGTTTTCGGAAACTCCAGCAAGTCATGATGCAAGAAGGGGTTTAGGGTTTTGCTGCAGGGTTTAGGGTTGCGCACGTCAAGGAGTTTCGGGTTTGGGGTTGGAATAAGGTTCAGAGTTTTAGGGTTTAGGGGTCGGAACACGACTCGAGTCCGTGTGAGAGAGAGAGAGGTCGGAACATGCATAAGATTCTTCACCAATAAAGTAGCCCCTTTGTTCTTTTTGATTATGCTAAATCCCTTAAGGCCTCTATATGAATTTGGATGTGGGATTGCGATAGTAAAGGCAGCAGCAGCGGCGGGAGGAAGAGGAGGATGAGGAGCAGGATAAGAAACAGAAAAAGAACCAGTCGTAGCACTTGTCGACGACGCCGTCGTCGACACATGTCGTCGTAGTCGCAGTGGTAGTAGTTGTGCCTAGTGTAGTAGCAGTAGCCGTAGCAGCAGCAGCAGTAGTAGCAGCAGTATCAGCAGTTTCCATTTTCGGCACCGGCAGACAGGTGCGAAGTTACCTGATTCATAAGCTGCTCATCGTAAAGTCGTAAAGTTGAAGGAATGTTTGAGGTGATGACAGAAAGGACGCTACAGGACGTAACCGCCGTGTGCAGAAGCACCCGCATGTTGGCTAGTAGAACCACAAAGTTGGCATACTTGATCATTGCATGGCTGGAGTTTTTCTTCCGAGCCCTCCGGCTCCATACTCCACCAAGAAAGCCTTGACAATGCTAATTCAAGAAGTATACGTATCAGTGTGGTTGTGTCCGGTATGGCAACACAGGATGGGGCTATGCCATGTAGCTACCTTTGCAGGTACGACTGCTTTCATTGCTGTCTTTTGGTATCTTACAGTAGGTAGCCAGTAGGGGAACTTTAAGCTTGTTGGCCTTGTATATTTGAGACGATCTGAGAAAGTTTGAACGTTTTGGGGCCCGTTATTGACGAGAGGCATGACTACTTTGTACTGATAGTTGTAGTATGGCGACGACCGCTACGATTGCGTTCGGTCTGAGTCAGACGCACCCTTAAGCATGTGCGTTCATTTGCTGACACTTGAAAGAGCTTTGTGCTGTGATGTGTGGGGACCTATCTCTGAAGAAGCGTTCGGTTGATGTGCCTGCCGTAGAGCTGCGCTACGGCGGACCAACTTCCTAACTGAGCAATGTGCAGCCTTGGTAAGTACAACAATAACTACATTTGAAGAGGCACAATAATACTCCAGACCGTGCTCCAACAGACTACGGCAGGAGTCGGCACGACTTGCACCCATCAGAATGAGAACCACGTGGATTTGACGGTCGTGGAGCGGAAATAGTAGCCCCTCCACTTCAGAGCCTTTCAGGGCAACGCACTGCACCAGACATCGGGGTACCGCCGGCACCACCATTATTGCTGACGCACTGGTCTCTTGCTTGCTAGTTCGTATGCAGACAGGCTGAATTGATACTATGCCGTTTGCTGCGGCGAGCAGCCGCGAGTTTCAGAAGTTGCGTTTTTGATTCAGCGTACTGGCAGTGTGTCCGAGTCATGTTTGCTGGCAACAGCTCCCCTATTAATTGCAGAGACAGTTTGCCTGCAGGCATTTGGGGGTATGTGTTGTTTTTGTTATCTCTCTCTCTCTCTCTCTCTCTCTGTATCTCTCTCTCTCTCTCTCTCTCTCTCTCTCTCTGTCTCTCTCTATACATACATATATTTGTTTGATGCAGGTGCGTGTGTTGCAACCTTCCCACGCAGCATACACACGTGTGCTTTTGTATACACTTCCGACTGCTAAAAAAATATTTTGACGTGTACGATTTTTTGATTATTTGAAGTAGTGCCGAGAGAAACGGGCCCTGCAGAAAGCAGGGATGCAGACATGCTTTTTTCGGTGACTTTCTGAGAATCCACAACAATGTGTGCTCCAGGTTGTGCCTCGGTCAAGCTTCCCCTACAACTGACTGTTTCGAAGCTCCCGGTGACAAGCTCTCTGAGAATCGCTCCAAAGTACTCCAAAGACTACTGCACTCACAAGGCATGGATCCCACACTAAGGAAGCCCAACATGCACTGCTAGAGTTGAACCTGCAGCTTTCATATTTCGCAGCTTGCCTGGGTCTAAGAGGACAAAGAAAGGGCCACGACATTCCAAAGCTGAGGCCGGAAACCAACTCCGGAGAGCGCCAAACGACCCATCATCAAGGGCACCTAAAGCCTGCACCCCGAATCCTAGAAAACCCATGGTGCCGCACATCCTGCATCCCCAAGTTCAAGTCCAAGTTGCCAATGCCAGATCCATGAGTATGTGCACGACCAGCTGCTTCATGCTTGCCTGGGAGTGCCGACGTCGACCCCTCGGCGGGATCGGCTGTCGGAGTCTACAATAATAGTTTAAACTCTTTTCAGACTCAAGACTCGTTATACCGGCCATCGTATTCCGATTGTAGCCCAGAAAGTAGTGAACATGCAGGCCTCGCACTCCTCCGTCTTGCTGCCTTCTTCTTTCAGCTTCTCGCGTCAAAACGTGCCGTGAGGTAAAGAGGGTTTGGACTAAAGTGGGAAGTAGTAGTAGTAGTAGGAGGATCATGGGGCTGGAAGGAATGTGGCATCCTGTCTGCACTAAGGCCGGGGAAGCAAGGTCGACGAGACCTCAGTGCAACAAGCATCGAAGAGATCCGGCTTAGGCTTGCAGGTTTTCGGGCGGGGGTTGCACCTTGATTGCAGGCTCCTGGTGACAAGTAGCTTTCCTCTCCCCAGGCATGCAGGGAGGACACAGAATAGCACTTGTGTGGATTTCGGGTTTTGGATATTGTACAACCACGCCGCTGACAGCAATGTGCTTTGCATCCGAGACCGTTGTGCACAGGGGCTCACCCGAAAGTTTTGTGGCCAGCAAGCGAAACCACAGAGGATCGCTTTCGGCCACCACCCCGGGTTGTGTAGCCAGTTTACGTACATCTATCAGGATTTTTGTCTGAAGTCTTATCAGTGCTATGTACTGGCCTTATTTCCGTTCTGACTATACTTTCTAGCTTATTCTTACCCCATTATTACGATTCGTGCTAGTATGAACGAGCAGCTTACAGGGGGCTTCGATGGGAGCCTCAGAGATGTGATCCGACTCTTAGGAGTTGCGAGGTTTAGGGCCGTTTGTCCAAGGGTAAAAGGAGGGACCCTTAATAAGGACCCCTAGGTATATACCCTTAATATAGCTATTATATACCCATTAGATAGCCCATTATAGGGTAGGGGTCCCCATTAAGGGTCCCTCCTTTTCCCCTTTGAGTTTGAGGGTTTACCATAAGCGGGGTTTAGGGTTTAGGGTTTAGCAGCTCTTGAGCCTTCAGCTCGCAGAGTGCCGCTCTGGAAAGGCAACATAAGAGAGCACGAAGTCTACATAACAACAGGTGGAGAGGTTTAGGGTTTAGGGGTTTGGGGTTTAGGGGTGTTGGGTTTAGGGTTTTAGGGTTAGGCGCACATTTGCTTCATGAAAGCTTCAAGCGGAAGAAGTAATGAGAGGTCTACATACTGGGCTGCAAGAGTTCTACGGTGAGAAGCGGCACCTATGCAGGACTTCGTAGCCTCCTCTGGTCATCAGAGTGGCTGCTTTGTGCTACTGCTGAGGCCGGAAAAAATCGAAGAAGGGAGCCAAGAAGGCTCTCCATGGGAGGGCGGCCGGTTTGGGGGCTTTGGCGACTGAGGGTTGGGTCATCCTTCTCATTCTGAGGCTGAGCACATCTAAGCTCTCCGCATCGCTTTACCCTACCCTTTCACCCCCCCTTCCTCCCCTTGCAATCTGGGCTGGGATTATATAGGTATGACTGCTGCCCGCTGTGACCAGCAATACCACTAGTTCAAGGTTCCTGCACTTCCTAAGGAGCATCAATCTTCGGAAACTCCTAGTTAACAGGGCAGCGCTGATAATTGCTCCGAAGCCTGACAGCTGGGACAGCTCGTTCTTTAGAAGCAGCCTCATATCAATTTGGTCGAAGGTTCTAACCTGGCTTTCGCCTTGATATGTAGTTCGTCCACGGATTCCCAATCACTCGGCGAGAGATCTCCGAACCCTGAACCTCTCAGTTTACTTTCTGCCAGTCTCAAGCACAGTTTTCACATCTGGCCCAGCACCCACGAACCGCGCCTGGCTTGTCGGAGTGCGAGCGCCAAAACCTTAAACCTTCAGCTCATTCGAAGGTGGCTCCCGCGACCTGTGGGATTTGCGGCAGGTCGGCCCGCTGCTGCACTGTTTCTGAGCTTTGCAAGACACATGAAGTTCAGTGCTGTGTCATACCGAAAGCCAGGGCCTGGCCCTGGAAAGCCTGGCCCTGGATTCTTAGATTCTTGATCCAAGGGCAATGTGAGATCCGCAGGACGCAGATGCGAAATCCTAAACTTTGGACCCTGAGTTATAAGCTTGAGGATTCATGTTTTGATCGCTCGTGGTCACATACAGCCAGGGTACTTGGGTAGCCGGATGGCTCGACCGGCATAGTCTAGTACAGCTGCTGTGCCGCGGCATGTTGTTGACCAGCAGCATCACTACGATCTTTTCTGTTCAGCAGTGAGTTGCTGCGGTTTTTATGCATACTTTGGGCTGGGTGCCTGCGCAGCTTCTCCATACTGCCAGCCTCCCTGCTTCTTATCGACGATATCGATTATAACGATGGTTATGTTCTAGGGTAGCAACAGGAATGAAGTTCTGTGAGTTCTGTGTTGAAGACATCAAAACCTCTGAGCTCATGTGACCCAGGGCTGGCTAAAGCAATGGAGTCTGAAACCCCTGATCTTCCAGTCGCCGACGAGCATGTGAGGACCATCGGTGCAAGCTTATCGACGGATGAGAAACTAGGTAGGCCTTTGGGACATTTTATATGTTCCCTGATTGGGCTTAGTAGCACCCTATTTACGAAGATTTTTCAGAGGCTTTAAGGGGCCAACCTAGGAAATCGGAAGGATCAAGCCAGAGTGAGGCCGCTGTGGGGATTCGACTCACGGACGTGTACGAGAGAGTCACCGACCACATTGCGAACTTCCAGGCCACAAGAAGCTTGGCGTTCTTCTGGTTGGCTCTTTAGACTTTAACTTTTTGAGTTTCTGTATGAACCGTAATAAGGAGGCTAAAAGTTTAACTTTTAGGAGGGGTTCAGAAGTCCGCCAAGGAAGGGACATCATCCGAGCGACGCGGTGCTACGAAGCCTTAAAGGGCGTCGGCCTTGCTTTTCGGTTCCCGAAAGCCGCACATTACCACAGGAGCTTCCCGACAGACAGGATCCAAGAATTTTGGTCTCACTCCTGGCATGGAAACAGGCTGCGGAAGATTTCCACAATGATGGTGCAGAATAATGGCCTGGCCGCAATCTCTTTGGGATCGTTGGTTTCTTATCTTCTTGCCGGTCTTTTTGTCGGTGGCTTTCTGCCTGGCTATGAAAGCGCACCCTTCCTTAGGCTGGGAAGGACCTCCTACTTGTTCTGCATTTGGGGACTGGTAGGTGGTACTCTCACCGCAGTAGTGACCATATTCGGCTGGCATCGGCGTACCCTGGTCTTCGTCGATTCGATTTGCATCAACCAATCAGATTCCAGTTTGAAGGTCGAAGCACTGCTAAGCATGGGCGCTTTCCTGCAGAGCTCTGAATCCTTATGCGTCTGGTGGGATGAAACGTTTGCTCAAAGGCTTTGGTGCGTGTTTGAGGCAGGGTCATGCCAAGCGCGCTTGAAGCTCTAAGCTATCGATAGCCGTCGAACGGGTCAGCCTAGATTGCGCATCGATCGACTAAAGAGTGTGTTTGGAACCTGGGCTTTATGTAAGATTGTTTCTGTTTTGACTTCGTATTGCGGGTTGGCTGGCTTGCGGCGAGCTTCCAACAAAAGGATAGTGTAGGAACCTGATTAAGAAACCTTGGGCCTTTATGAGGGTTCTTTATATGAATCCTGCTATTTTGGGGTTAGGATTTCTCAATCAGGTTCCTACATTAACCGGAGTGAGGCCTTATCAGACTGAGACACGTGGTAAAAAGATTTTGGCCGCCTAGTTCAACATATATGTTAAAGGTCTTCTGGGGTTTAGACTCTAGACCTTGCTTTATGGTGATTGTGATTATCGTTATCATGATTTATTGTTAGTATCCTTATTGTTGTTATGACTATTCTTATGGCCATTGCTGTTTCCAAACGTGTCGATATTTTGGAGAGAAACTCGTGCTTCGAGGTCGGAGCCTACCTCGGCAGCTGCCAAGCCTCAGCCGGGCGCAGCAAGAGATTGGTCATTCGGCCGACGGTGCTTGGAACGAACTCCGCAACTGCGTTTCTTGGTACATTTCTACTTGCACTTGGCTTTGTGGCCAGTCCCTTTGACGACCTTCTGCTTGGTTGGATGATTTTCACTGTCCTTGGCATCATTTGTTGTCACTTGGCTGTCCGTTCTTTGCGGGGCTACTTCGCAGCTGTGGAGAGCATGCTTGTCCAGCTGCGCAAGTTTCGCATCCAAGACGCCCAGTGCGAATGCTGCAGCGAGGGTCACCCAGCGGGGAACTCCGTCCCTTGCGACCGTGAAGTCATCACCCTTTGCATTCGCAAATGGTTTGGTTCTGAGTCTGCCTTCGAGAGGTTGGTCACTACCGATGTGTCCATCGCTTTGGCCAGCGCTCTCGGTGATACATCATTCTCCTACGTGTGGCTCTTGATGATATCTGCTCCGTTGCATTGGGTGCATGTGGATCAGGTGGCTACACGCTTGCATTCACAGGACAGGGAGGCTGCAGTTGTAACGACCATCATCAACTTGACCTACTATTTCCTGGCCTTCCCTTTAGTCGGACGCCTTGGGATTGTCCTGGCATGCAAGGCTCGGCGCCGACGTCAGCAACTTTGGGCCAATGAGCTTATGACATGTGCAGTGTACCTTGCCATTTTTCCGGTGGGCACGGCCCTTCTTGCCATGCTCCATAGCTGCAAGACAGACATGACAGGATTTTCTAGATGCCTGGTAGTTGAACAGACTCATCAAGGCTCAATCCGTTCAAGGCCCTAAAAACGTTCAGGCAGACGGTGCTGACGCAAGTCATGGACCCGGTCGCCGGAGCCGGCATCTTTGCCGCGATCAACTTGATCATGCTTGTGGTTCTTCTCCGACAATGTTCGCAGATGTCACTTCTCACGCATGACGTGCGGGAGATATCCTAACGGTCCTGGCGGCTCCCAGTGTAGCTGGGCAGTCGCAGCGGTTCTTTTCTTCGGCACAAGCCGGGTGCCTCAACCAGTGTGTTTATAGTGTTTCAATCTCGCCTCCACCGAGTCGCAAGAGCTCGGACATGCGAACTGTTTCCCGAAAGCGGGGATACAAGAGATCGATTGAATGTGTGGGTTTATTGAGTGATTGGGGGTGACTTCGTGCGTTTATTCGGTCAGTCAGTCGTTTCTTCATTCATGTTTTCATTTGTTTCTTGATGCCTTCGTTCATTGCTTATGTCCTTCATTCCTTCCGTCTTCTATTCATGAATATATTGGTTCGTTTGTTCCTGCCTTCCTTCCTTCATTCATCCAGTCATCCATTCGTTCATTTCTTTGTTCATGTATTTATCCGTTCATTAACCCATTCATTCATTCACTCAGTGGCTAACCGGCGTACATACATTTTAATATTACATGTTCATACCTTTATGTGACTGTGTTTTTGGATCCTATTATAATACGACACCTAATATTCAAGGGACCCAAGAAGGGATCCTAATTTTGACAACTACCCAAATCTCAAGTGCCGTGTCATTGGTCCATTGTTTGGGTTTCAGGGGCTGGAGTGTGTCAGGATTGCATGCTTGAGGCTCCAGGTGAGGTGGTGCGACCATACGAAATTATCAGCATCGCAACATATCACACATTGTCATCTTCAACAACATGTTCATGCAGCAGTGAAACAGCATGGTGAGAAGTGTGCCGAGCACCCCGGGGCGAGGAAATCTGGACTTTGTAGCCACTAGTAGGAAACAGGAATCCCACGCTTGCCCATATATATATATACATACATATACACATACATACATATGTATATACATATATGTATATATATATATATATGTCACTAATTATGCGTTTTTATGTGTGTATATATATATATATATGTATGTAGATATAAAGATAGATGGGTAAATAAACAACAAAATTAGCTATATATACATATATATTCTTTGATCTCCGATGCCTTGTTGTGTTCCTTTGGCAGGCCGCCGGCTGCTACAGCGCCGCAGCTGCCACCATCTTGGCTTGGTCCTGAGAATTCTGTTTGTTCTTAGCTAAGTTATGCGAAGCTTAGCTTTGGTAACCATACCTGGATATGTAGTTAGTGGGTTATATAGGAGTTCCTTATCATTGTTAGCTGCAATGTTCACTTAGGGTTGAGTCTTCATCCATGGTTGTCCAACCGGTTCAGCTTGTGTTCCAGGAATCGGAAAAGTTGTTGAGGGCTGTATGTTCATCGAAGGACTCAAAACCGGAAGTAGATCGGCATTGGAGGTGCTTCAGTGAGGGCGGCTATTGCTGCTATGATGTCGGCTTCGCCAGGTGTGATCACGATGCCACAACGAGTTGCGGAGATGATCGTTAATGTGGTGACTACTGTGACGAAGGCGACCGGCATGAAGTTGAAGATGATGGTGCTGCGAGGTAAAATGATGATTTGGACGATGACCTCATTCACCACAGCCGTATCTGCTCATTGTAACCCTGATTATTCTTGATTTCTAGCAGACCGATGGTCTGTGTGTGTCTGTGTGGGAAGCCAGCCGAACCAATTCGAGGACCAAGATCTACGCCGAGCCCAGCGATCCTTTGCGATGGAAAGTCCCGAGGCACACGTCCCGCTCAGGGTACAGGTTTTGTTCGCAAGGCAAAGCCCACGAGCCAATGGCTTGCGAGACTCCTAGTATAACAGCTCTCAGTCCATGCAAGCGTTTGCTCCAATCCTTTTGCAAAGGCACGTGGGCCTCAATCCCCAAACTGCCACACCCGTACGTACATATCCCCAAACCTCCACGCAGTCCTCCCCACGAGCACGGCCTTTGTTGCACATAAAGTCAGGGTTTTCGTTATATAGTAGAGATTCCGACGCAGAAAGTGTACATGATGGGGTCGACGCGTATGCGTAGTCTTATGCTTTGTGCTGCTCGCTGCGACTTCCTCTACGATCACCAGCTGGTACACAGCCGCGTAGAAGCAGTGGCCCAAGAAGAAAGACACATGGTAGTGACAGTCGTCGTCGTCGTCATCGACCTAGCAACAGTAGCAGATGCCGTCCTAGTAGTACCATGATGTCGTCGTCGAAGTGACACTGGTACTGGCTGTCGCCCTACTACTGCCACCACTACGACAGCCGCCACTACCACTGCCATTGCCACTACCACTACGCTGCAGTGGCAGTGGTAGGATTGGTGGCAGCCGTAGTAGCAGTAGTAGTAGTACTAAATAGTGGTGGTAGTAGTAGTAGTAGTAGCAGTAGTAGCAGGAGTAGTAGTAGTCGTAGTAGTAGTAGTAGTAGTAGTAGTAGTAGTAGTAGTAGTAGTAGTAGTATTCGTCGCCGTTGTCGTCGTAGTTGTCGTAGTAGTAGTAGTAGTAGTAGTAGTAGCGGTAGTGGTAGTAGTAGTAGTCGTAGTCGTAGTCGTAGTCGTCGTCGTCGTCGTCGTCGTAGTCCGTAGTCGTAGTCGTAGTCGTAGTCGTAGTCGTAGTAGTAGTAGTAGTAGTAGTAGTAGTAGTAGTAGTAGTAGTAGTAGTAGTAGTAGTAGTATTCGTCGCCGTTGTCGTCGTAGTTGTCGTAGTAGTAGTAGTAGTAGTAGTAGTAGTAGTAGTAGTAGTAGTAGTAGTAGCGGTAGTGGTAGTAGTAGTAGTCGTAGTCGTAGTCGTAGTCGTAGTCGTAGTCGTCGTCGTCGTCGTCGTAGTCCGTAGTCGTAGTCGTAGTCGTAGTCGTAGTCGTAGTAGTAGTAGTAGTAGTAGTAGTAGTAGTAGTAGTAGTAGTAGTAGTAGTAGTAGTATCTAAGCATTTAAACATGTCAATTAGACTGTGTGTTGACGCACATGCGAGGCACTTGCGGCTAAAAGTCAAAACCCAAAATGCAGGACAGCAGGAGGAATTAGGAAGTGACAGCCAAAACCTGAATGAAAGCTTACGCAAGCGGCAGCTTGTATCTCTAGACGAAGGCGAAGACATATCTAAAGAGATCTGGAATGATCTCCTATTTCCATGTCGCGCATGGGGTGACGTTGTGAGGAAGTCTTGGGCCGTCTGCCAGCATCTGCCTATGCTCTGAGTCCTAGTAACGTGCGCCGCAGTTTGGGGGTTTTTTATCAACGGATGGCCTCTGAGTGGACGCTATCATGGTTTGCTCAAGGAAGCTCGTGGACGTTATCATGCTTGGCGAAGCCTTCAAGGTATCCTCACACTGCCCCTAAACCCCTACCTATAGTCTCCATTGTAGTTCCTTTCTCTGGTTAACCAAAATCTATATTATAGGATCCTAACCATAAAACTGGATAACCAACAAAAGGAACTACCTTGGAGACTATAGGTAAGCCCCTGAACCCCTAAACCGAGAAAACGCTTAAACCCGGAGCCCTGTGTCGAGGCCGGCTTCTGCAGGCCGCCGGGTCACCGAGTCTTTCGTCGCGGCCGTGCATTTTGGGTTTAGGGTTCAGGCAACTGAGTCCGTGTGCGAGAGAGAGAGAGAGAGAGAGAGAGAGAGGGAGGGTTTACGGTTAGGGGTTAGGAGCGCGGCACGAGTCAGCTGTCCTGGCGTGACGTTGCAAGCCAGTTGCAAAAGGGGTTAGGAGACTTGAGTCCAGTGGCAAAAACGGCCGGGTTAGGGTTTAGGGTTCAGGGTTTCGTGCTGCAAACGGGTTTGGGGGCTGGGGCTCCGTGCCACTTCTTCTGATGCATAGGCTTTGGGTTTAACGGCTCTATAAGGAATAAACTTTAAGGTTTGGGGGGTTGCATGGATATACAAAGGGTACATGCAGTCATACATACACATGCCCATGCATGTACATGTGGTATTGCATGTGCAGATTTTAGATCCCCTCCGTTTACTTAGATGAGGGATGCTGCTGTTCTCAGTCCCTATGCAGATGCCGCCTTGAGAGTGCCCGGGCCAATCACGCCTGTTTGTTTCGCCCACCGTCAGCAATGCAAAGTGCTAAAGTAATACGAAGACAGGAGCACAATACCATCTGCACATGTATCAAGCACCGCTAGAGCAACCATACCTCATATGAGAGTGCGTGCGACGGAAACCGTCATACATGCCTGCTCCGCCTAAGGCCCAACCGTGCGGGAGGCCAGCCCGAAGTCTCGAAGAAGGGTTTCGACCACCAAGACATGTAGAAGCCGACAGCTTGAGCATCGATGTCTCGATGTCTCGCGAGGCGAATAGGGGAAAGATGCCAAAGCTTTTGACCTTGCGGTTCCAACATCTACCGCGAAGTCGTTGCGATGCAGGATGTGGATTGCCAGAATATGGATCTTCGTCCTCGGCCAGCTTCGGAATTTGTGGTGTTGACTAAGGGGCCACTCCCAGCTCTCATGACACCGAACCGGCCCTAATTCGAAGCTTGAGGATTTGTGCAGCTTGGAGAATTCAAAATGGAGGGGTGCAGCGTCCCTCATGGTATCGCAGTTAGCGGGGCTGATAGTACCCTTCCAGACCCAAAAAACACCTTTCAGGCTGCGTGCTGCCTCTCTGCACAGCCACGGCCGCCACGGCCGCGGCTACCGGCCTTCAATTTTCATGAGTTTCGTTGCTTAGGGTTTAAGGTTCAGGCCGTAGGATGTCTAATTCATACCTACAAAAAGTAGTGGTAGGTTTTTAGTTGGTCAGCGGCTGATCTCGTCTAGCGCGTGCGGAGTCTGAATATCCGGTATAGTTCCCGAAGCAGGTTGGTTTTTATGTGTTTTGGCGCCTGGATGGCTCTACTTTAGCCTTGTTTTGAGTTGCATCAAGCTGCCGTTGAGAGCTAGGTTCGAAAGTTTCAGAAGCTTCGCAAGGGGACTGTTAGGGAGATCTTTTCGAGTCATGGGTGCCAAAGAGGTGAGGCCCATACTTCGAATATAAGCGCCCAAATAATTAATTACCAATATGATTCGATAAAGTCTAATGTGCCCCAAAACCGTATTCTAATTATCAAAGCCCCTACCGTATGTA